TCATGCTTTGTCCAGCAGATAGCGCTACAGGACAGATGACAGCACAGGAGCACCCGGCAACATCAACCTGTGGAGCTCCTTCAAAACAGTTTCATGACACAGTTATGGTGTGACTCAACAAAAGGACTCGTCTGCTCATTTACAGTTTAATATGTATGTATTTACATGTAATGGAGTCTGAAAACAATGTTTTGCTCGTGGATGTTGGTGTGACAGCTTGTTGAAGAGGAACCCCTCCCCTCACAGAATATGTGTGTGTGTGTGTGTGTGTGTGTCCAGCGTCTTATATTGTGATTAACAGAGGAATCCAACTGGTCACAATAACGTCTTTGTGCTGAGTGCAGGTGAAAACTCAGCCTCAGGCCTCAGAGTGAACATGTGATGGAGAGTTAGTGCAGTGGGGCCACCTCCGTCTTATCTGCACGTATATGTGTATATATATATGTGTGTGTGTGTGTGTGTGTCCATGTGAATGATCTGTGTATGGTAGCACACGGCTGAGCGACGGCGTGTTTGACCGTAAACTTGTTTGCACTTGCGTTTACATGCCAACCAAGATTAACCACATTTAAACCTTTGAGGATTAAGTGAGTTTTAAACTGGTCTTTGTTCGGTTCACCTTAAATGAACCACGGATCCTGTGTTACAGCGGAGAACACCATCCACGCCGCGCGCTCCCATACTGTGTTACCTCCACAGTCTGGGAGAAGTGGTCACACGCTGTATGCACACATATCCTGATACACCTTAAGATGCATATACAGTTTGTTTACCATATGTGCATGGACTGGGTGTACAGTATGTGTCAGTATCAGTATTATCAATAGTTATTATCATGATATTGAAAGAATCCAAGTCTACTTCTTCAGGGTTGGGGGGAAAAATAAACAACAGAGGGAGTTCATGTGAAGTGGATCTGGGAGCCTGACTTGCTCCATCATCACATACAAATATGGATCCTGAGCCGGGCCCGGTCTCCTCTGCCTGGGCACTCGACAAAGCTGCGTCTGTGCTGCGTTTGAGCCTCAGCCCACTGGGGCACCGCGCCACATTCAGCCCCCCTGCTGACATTTCAACATGACACGCTCTGCCATGAAGACGCTTTTCCTTCCATGAAATGTGGAAATGTGCAAGATCCTGTGTGTGTGTGTGTGTGTGTGTGTGTGTGTGTGTCGTCTTCCTGTTTATGTATACTGTATGTTGTTTATTTGCCCCTCGGCAGACGGGGGGGGGGGGGTTGACTGTAGCTATTAAGTGAGTTTGAGGGGTAATTGTTTGTGTACATTGTATGTCGAGTGCTTTTCAGAGCGGAGTGGGTGAAGCAGCAGATGAGTGGAGGTCGACTCGTCTTTACATATATTTCTGCTGTTGTGTGTCTGTGCAGCATCAGAGTGCAAACACAACCTCTTTTGTTTGCCTTGGCGCCCACGGCCTCTCGCTGTTCGCCTGTTTGTCTTCCCCTCCACCAGGCTTTTGGACCCGGCATGAATGACTAAGAAGAACATGACACATATTCTCTGAGGTGAGTTTCCCCACACTTCTTGGCGCTGCCCGCCCGCTCGGCTCCTCTGGCCCCTGAGGCCTGCGGGCAGGGACGGATGCCCGGCGGGGGGAACCCTGGAGGGCTGGACACAGGCAGCTCCGTCCCTGGTAAATTTTTGAAAACGAAGCTAAAAGCCAAAGTTGTTCCCCAATAAACCTTGTTCCAGTGAGTTGTATAACGTACATCTGCAATGTATGAAAAGTCCAGATAAGTGCAGCCGCCCCCGGAGAACAGACCGACGCTCTCGCCAAGTTCCCACTCTGAATGATGAGGAGGAATATTAGAGGGAAGTGAAAGCAAAACACGGAGAGAGCTAAAACAACCTAAGATTTCACAGCCCTGGCCACAGAAATGCTGCTTGTTTTCAGATGAAGCAACACCGGGGTTGCCCCGGTTTGGCCTCTGTGCTCAAAATATAACTTCACGCCCAGGGGAATGAGTGTTTAAAAGCAGCAAGAAACACAATGAAACAGCACAAACATTAAGAAATGTAAGAAAACAAACTGTGTCACCAGGGTAGTTTTTTATGTGACACATGAAAACCTCCTTAAAAACCCAGTTTGTGGTTTTAGCTGACTTTCCAGCCTTCGTGCCACCATGTCGAAGATTGTATGTTGTCATTGGCAATATCTGGAATAGAGGCTCTTTTTTTTTTTACACAGAGCCAATATCCAGTGACACTGGGGCGACTGTCTCTTTGGACAGCCAATAATCTGGATCTCTTTAAATCCAATAAACATCATGTGGGATGCAAAACAGTTTCGCAAACATTAGTTGCCCAAATTACATCCAATCTCTGGAGGAATGCATCACACTGACCGTGGGTGGTCCGGCCAGCGACATGGCATTTTTTAACTTTCCCTTCTGTGTAATGGCTTTTTCCAAAAGACATCACATTCAATCACTCGTGACATTTTATCAGGGCTACCTTAAAAAAAAAATCTTTCATAAACATGA